CTCGATTGCACGTTGCAATTTGCAAACCATCGTGATCGCCTGAGGGAGCAGTTGTGACCGGTGAAGGGAGGGAAGGGAACGAGGAAGAGTCGAGTTGAGGGGGTTTTGTGGCAGAGAGCAGCCGAACGGCTGCTTGCGTCGCGCGAATGCTGGAGTTAGGTTGGGTGAAACCGGGTTTTTGAGACTGGTTGATGGACAGACTGAACGGCATGCTGCCTGCCAGACTGGCGCGTTGATATTGTTGAAGGTCAACGCCTGGGTAGCGGTTTCCGCTGGTTTGAAACAAAGTGCAAGAGCTGCATTTTGATGCTATTTTAAATAGTTGGTTATACACCCGAGGCCATATAAAGATGGGTGTACACTCACCCAATGAATCAGTGAGCCCAAAATGGAAACGGGGGCTAAAATCGCTCATTTTGACTATGCGTGTGCTTTGTTTTTTACGAGCAGGCGGGCTAAAGGACTGGCATGAGAAACAGGTGGGCTGGGGGACGGGACGAGATAGACAGGTGGGCGGGCCGAGGTAGCAAGAGAGCAAAACTGGGGCCAGAGCAGGGCTGATTTTATCAGGGTAATTACCCTGATTTTAGGGTGATTTCAGACTTTCCACTTTGCGGAGACTGAGATTTCAGAATTACTGAGTTCTCAACCCTGTTCAAATCAGAGTAGTAGTTTTCCTATCCCTGATTTTGAGTAAAGTGTAACAGACTATCCTGTTAGTGGACCCTGACTTAATAGGATATCGAATCTGTGGTCCCTGATTTTGACCTTATCGAGAGGAAGGTTCTTGGAAATTTTCTCCCAATATCCCGCTTCGGTTTGATCGCAGTACAGCCAGCGCATGAGCGATGGACAGCAGCATGTCGGACAGGCGAATACGCTCTATGTTTGTTATTTTCACGAAATGCGAATAAGTTGTTCCACTGTCGTAACTGCGTGTGCGTTAAATTTCTAGAACCTATTTTGCGTTTCGCACAGCGATCTTGGCCACATTCAGGTATCGAATCGAAATGCTTGGTTGAGCGAAATCGCTCATCTCTTCCCCCCACTAAAACGTGTGCACAAATACCATTTTGTAACACCAAAAGGGTGGAAATTAGCGCACTCAAAGTGTGCACGAAACACAGAGCGCAAACTTTACGCAGAGGGAGACTTTTTCCCCTCTAACAAAGGACGCGTTACTACTCTGATCCTCGATTTTCGACCCTGAACAATCAGAGTTATATACTTATCAACCCTGAGCAATCAGAGTAGCATTATTCTGAAAAATGTGCACTCATAATAGAGGGGAAATTTTTTCCCCGGAATCAGGGAGGCCTAATATGAAACATCAGCCCTGGGCCAGAGGTGAAATCCACCATATTAGAGGGTACAAATCAGGGTGCGCTCTGGCTGATGCATCAAGCTGAGCATCAACAAAAGCATGTCTGGTTACAACGATATGGTTAATGCCTCATTATGGTAAGCATACTTGCATCCCTACCCACAACGACGAGACAGTACAGTCAAACCCGTCATTGAGTGACCGGAAAAGGCCCACTTTCCGCTTGTATCGAGACGCAATTAGCTTGCCGCACGTGTCTCCTCTCTTCACGAGGTAGAAGCGTTTAGTCACACATTGCATCCCTCCATAGCCTGACGCCTCATTCGATAGCAAGCACACCTGACGTGGAGAGTGAGAAGGGGAGAGAGGAGAGAAAAAGGAGGCAGGGTTGAGTCACACATTGCATCCCTCCATAGCCTGACAGCTCATCCGCGAGCAAGCACACCTGGCGTGGGGGGTGAGAAGGTAAGAGAAGGGAGAGAAGGGAGGCAGCGATGAGTCACACACTGCATCCCTCCATAGCCTGACAGCTCATCCGCGAGCAAGCACACCTGGCGTGGGGGGTGAGAAGGTAAGAGAAGGGAGAGAAGGGAGGCAGCGATGAGTCACACACTGCATCCCTCCATAGCCTGACAGCTCATCCGCGAGCAAGCACACCTGACATGGGGGGTAAGAAAGAAAGGAGTACATTATGGTTGAAGCCAATGAATAAGTTCACACAGGTTTGCTTGAACCATAATAGTTCAGACACACAATCACGATAAAAAAACAGTGGTCACGTAAGCCTTGCAACAGCTGCAGAATTGCTTGGACGAAAATCAGGATGTGCGGTTGTCAAGGCCATCGGCAGATAACAGAAATGGTGTAGGCACACTCTGTATGGAGGATACGACCAGTCCAGGCAGCAACACCATGTATCAGATGGTTGCAAAAACAAACCAGGTAGAGTCGAACGCATTTCAGAAGGCTTCAAACAGGTGAACAGAAACCACACGCGCAAGTAATAAATAACCACTCACTCACCTTGTCGACAACAGAGTCCGCCCACCCAGCAGCATTGGGCAGCAGGTGGTCGCAGTAGAGCGCGGGGTTGACGCGGAAGAGCTTTGCGATGCTCATGATGTGCCATCCAAGGCGCAGCGTGGCGAGCTTCTGGCACGTGTGCACGGTGGAGTCGAGAGTCTTATAGAGGTTGCAGGCCGCCACCGGGGAGGAGGGGTACCTTGAGTTGTTCTCCACACACACGCGCTGCAGGGAGGAGTGGGATGAGGGGGATGGGGAGGGGAGAGTGAGGTAAAATCCAATAAAAAGCGCATCAAGCTTCTGACACGAGTGCACGGTGGAGTCAAGAGTCTAGTTTAAGTTGCAAGCCGCCACTGGGGAAGAGGGGGACCTGTTTTGAGGCGCCTCAAAAGTACTCTGTTATAAGTTGCTTGCAGGCCGCCCCTGGGGAAGAGGGGGACCTGGCATTGTTCTCCACACACACGCGCTGCAGGGTCGAGAGGGATGGAGGGAAGAGGGAGGGGAGGGGGCGGTGTTGAGGTGCCATCTAGCACGAAGCGTGGCGAGCTGTGGCACGTGTGCACGGTGGAGTCGAGAGTCTTATATAAGTTGCAGACGGCCACCGGGGAGGAGGGGTATCTGGAGTTGTTCTCCACACACACGCGCTGCAGGGAGGACGGGGATGAGGGGGAGAGGGAGGGGAGAGGGCGGTGTTGGTGCCATCCAGGGCGCAGCGTGGCGAGCGCCTGGCACGTGTGCGCGGTGGAGTCGAGAGTCTTACATAAGTTGCAGGCCGCCATCGGGGAGGAGGGGTACCTGGCATTGTTCTCCACACACACGCGCTGCAGGGTGGAGAGGGATGAGGAGGAGAAGGAGGGAGACGGCCGCGTTGAGGTGAATTCAGGGCCTTCTGGGCTCCTGAGCTACCTGAGACACATACTTGTGACACAACCTTTTTTTTTTGCTAGACAAATTGGATTTTGAAGGCTGGCTGAAACATGGCCTGAACGACTAAAGTGAGCTGCTTGAGGTAACAAGCTTCAGAGATGACACAAAGAGAGAGCAGAAAAATCTGTGAGGGTTTCAGAAGGGAATAAAACAAGAACTGACCTTTCCAGGTATGATAAGTTGTGAGCAGTTTATGTTACGGTTCAAGTCTGTTATGTTGGTCCCCATGAGGCTGTTGATTGACGCGCATGTGTCATCCTGGGGTGAGTGGAATGGCGTGAGGGTCAGGGAAGGAGGTGGGAAGAAACGAATGCAACTTGCAACTTGGCGCAACATGCATCGATTTCACCAATCCTAGCCCAATTCTAGTTTGGTATTCTACTCAAATCTCTTCTTCAATAACCTTATTTCCTCCCTTTTATCTCTCCTAGCGATGCTAATTCTTTCAACCTGGTGGGTGCTGCACATGCCTCACCTGGTGGGTGCTGCACATGCCTCACCTGGTTGGCGGTATACATGCTGGTGCAGCTCTTGTTAGCAGATGCCGAGACGTTGACTGTCAACCCACGAGGTATGGGCTTGTGGCATGCCAAGCCCTGCCAGGACCGATGCAACAACACGGCATTAATTGATCAAACTGGCCAGGATACAAAAATTTGGGTTAACTAGAATAGAATGCTTCCGGTTCTGCCAGTGGAATAATTTCAGAACAACACAACGCAATTAATCAACAAAGTGAGAATGCGGGATTGCCTAATACACCTCACCAGCACGCCTCACCTCATCAGCACGCCTCACCTCATCAGCACGCCTCACCTCATCAGCACGCCTCACCTGGTTGCTCTCCAGCAGCTCTTGAGGTGAGAGGTCAAAGATGTCGAGCAGCAGAGGGCATGTGAGGCCGGGGGGTGCTGGGAAGAATGGCACTCGAGTGGCAGATTTGCTCACTGGTGGTGAGAGGGGAGCGAAGTTGTGGAGGGTAATTGGGGGTTGTTGGAGAAGTAGGAGAAGTACAAAGTTGATGCTGGGAGAGAAAGTGGCACCGGTAGGAGCCAAGGTAGCATTTAGGTGGACCTTACCAGCCAAAGTCACGATACACCGACTGAATAATATTCTTCAACTCTATAGGTCAGTTAGTGGTCACTTTGTGAAGCTATTCATGGGCGCTTTATGAGACTGGAGTCGCACCTGGGTTACAGGGACGCCTCAGAGGGTTAGAGTAGTGGAGGGGGAAGAAGGAGGGCGGGCAGAGGCAGAAGGAGGAGGCATCATAGCCCTCCAGGCACACGCCAGGCGCACACGTGTCAGTGCTGTTAAGACGACATGCGGGGAACTCTGGAGGGACAGTGAAAAGGTGGAGAGGAATTTAGAGAGGATAGGGGTGATGAGATGGTAAGCGGGAGGAAAATACAGAGTACTACAGTGAATGGGGTGGAAGGCAATGAAATGGTACGTGGGGAGTGAAACGGTTAAAAGTGCAGCCACTTAGCTGGTGAAAGCGGAAGGAATTATCAATGTGCTGGTTGATTGATTGTGCTGTGTTATGAACGTTGGAGTTTTGGATGTGGCAGAATTTGAGGGGGTTGCAGCTGCAATGGCTGAAATGAGAGGGCACGAGCTCGAGTTGATGAGACGAAATTCTAATCAGGATTTACCCTTGTCAATACCCTTGTGCACTATGTGGTGATGGCTGCGTGGACTTACCATCATAACCAGCCAAGCTTACCGTTGAAGCATGTTTGGAAGGCGGGCATTTGGGGGAGCTTGTAGCTGGGCTGGCTGAGAGGGCACGAGCACGTGCTGGTGTATGTGCCTGTGGCTGCTGACCTCACCGCACTGCACCTGCCAGCACCGCATGGATTCACGTCCCACGCCGTGCATGGGTTGACGTCTGTGCGGCATGGGAAGTGAGGAGAGGAGAGACAAGGAGAGACAAGGAGAGACAAGGAGAGACACGGAGAGACAAGGAGGAGAAGATGATGGACGAAAGAGGAAAAGGGCTGAACAGAGGAGCAAGAAGGGTATGAAAACATTATGATTGGAGTGGAATCACTAGTTGAGTGAAGTGAATACATGGATGCATTGTTCCCTCTTAGCGATTCAATTCAAACGCATGCATGCATTTTGTGGTGCAGGCACAATCAGTCACTGATAATGAATTATAATTGCGAGCATATGATCTATGTTGGAGAAAAACGCTCAGCGCAAGAAAAGAATGTTAGCGTGTATCCGGAGATTCGTGATATGCGGTATGCTCGGTTAGGCAGCCCGTCTGAAAAAAAAAAGTGTGTACAAATTGCACAAACCCAAATGTCGACTGCAACTGTATTTCCCCTTAGTACCATACTGTTCTTTTCCAACATAGCATATTCTCACAAATGTGGCACATGGACATTGGGAACAAAGCAAGTGTGCATGTGCAGACAGACAAAGATGAACAGATGCATGGCTCTACAGGCGCAGATGCATTCAGGCACACACACCTGAGAAATCAAAAGATACATGCTTCAATGGCCCGGACACAACACATACACTTTCGAGCCACAGATGCACACATTCACACACAGACGCATGGCACTCACCGAACCGTTCATACGAACCTGTGAATCGAAACGTCCACGCTTTGATGGACTGAACACATGCCTGCGTGCTGGCACTGCTGAACCCAGCAAACACCGGAATCACTCCCTCAGTGGTGCTATTGCCATCATAGAACACAGAGCACAGGTCAAGACTCAGCTTCACACTCCCCATCCTCGTAGCTCCTCTATAAGTCACTGCCTCTAGAGTCTTAATGGCAGCCGTATAGTCCACCCTCATGCTGTATAACGAGGATGAAGTGTATCTCTTCTGAGATGAAAAAGCCAGCCGCCGTGTCACGTTAAAGTCAGTGTGAACGGAGAGAATTGCCACATCATTGTAAATGGCATAGTTAGGGTCAATGCCGCTAAAGGCATCAAACATCACCGCCACACTCCTCCCTCCATCCGCCCACGTCCCATTCGCATTCCTCCCTTGCGCATCCCTCCCATACCCCATACCCGCCCCTCCTTGCCCCACCCCTGGCCGAGTACTGAGCACGAAAACCACCCCAAAGCCATTACCGCCACTCGCCTTGAGCTCAAAGGCAAACCAGGAGGTGAAGGAGCGAGCTCTGCACACCACAGGGTCATTAGAGGGCTTAGAGAGCCCCACTCCCCTTGCGCGGTTCCTCCCCTTGCGGGGCGGAGGAGCGGGGAGGAGCGAGAGCAGGGGCAGGGGGAGGGGGAAGAAGGCGGCGCCTGATTCGTGGTCCTGGTTGCCCGGAGTGAGTTGCAGCGAGGAGAAGCCGAGGCGAGCTGCACCCGAGGCAGTGAAGGGTGCGGCTGGCGTGAGGAAGGGCAAGGAGAGGGACGGCGGCTGCCACACGGGGAGAGGCGCCGGCGCTGGAATGGGGGAAGGGTATTTTATGGGGAAGTAGGAGGGAGAGAAGGAAAACATAAAGGGAAAGTGAGCAGGGCAGCACACAGAGCCGACACAACCAACAGTGGAGTGGCTGAAGAGGAGTTGAGGGAGTGGAAAGGATGAACGTTTTCAACCGTTTCATCGACTCTTGGATTTCTCTTGACTTTGTTGGAGGAGCACTTGGATTGACCTAAGGTCCTGGGAAAAGGTCACAGGCAAGGATGGCATGGCCGTGCTCAACCGCTATGGAACAAGCCCTTTTAGCTCAGTGAATAGCGGTTGAGTTTTACGACATGGTATCAGAGCGAATGTCTTGGGTTCGAATCTCAGTGTGCACAATGGATGTGCTTGTACTCCTAAGGCCTACCCCAGTGAGGGAGGGGGGGGGATGTTGGAAGAACATTGGGATGGGCCTAATGTCCTGAGAAAGGGTCACTGGCAAGAATGGCATGGGAATTATGGGTGCGCTCACTCGCCATGAAACAAGTCATTTTAGCTTAGTGATTAGCGGTTGAGTTTTCCAACATGGTATCAGAGCGAATGTCTCGGGTCATGGCAAAAGGATCACAGATAAGGTTATGGGTGCGCTCACCCGCTATGGAACAAGCCCCTTTAGCTCAGTGGTTAGCGGCTGAGTTCTCCAACAGGCTCTACGCATTTTTCCCAGCTTGCTCTGTCTTCCGGCCATTCAAGCCTTCTCTGCCTGCCTTCACTGAACACCTTGAAAATGGCTACTGCACACCGTGCCCTGACTCCTGCCACTCCGTCTCACCTTTAGTGTCGACCTGAAAGGCCCAGGAGATGATCTCATGCGTCTGAGTGTGCAGCGGCAGCAGCCCCGTGCCGGCTGCAAACCCCGCATGCACCAACACGGCCTCCCCCTCCCCGCTGTCGGCCGAAGCATTGTGAAAAAATTCGCAGGCGTTAAAAGGGAGGGAGAGGAGGGCAGAGGGGGGCATGGCGGGCGAGGAGGAGAGGCGCACGGAGAGCAGCGAGGCGGTGGCGTTGTAGGCCACCCACGCATGCAGCGTCTTGTTCTTGTTGCTGCCCAGCGAGGCCATGCCCGCGGGGTGCACAGACGCATGGCCTGCTGACGTCATGCTGTAATCCATGTTGATACCCACATGGTGAGTGGTTGGATCTAGGAACAGGCGAGTAGATGACGTGTCAAACTCCACTGCCAGGCTGCGCTGATGTGGCAGGCTGCTGTTGAGGGTGATACCACTGCCGCTGTCAACCGGGGTGCATGTGACGATCCCGTTCTCTTCCACGCAGAATTCACCTCCACCGCCATCCGATTCCCCCCCTCCCGCATCCAAAGGAGCCTCCTCCTGCCTGTATGGCCTTCTGCCGTATCCCATGTTTGGTCCGGGCAGTCCGGCGGTCGGGTCGGGCAGGAGAACGAAAGCAAAGCCGTCGGCCCCAAGAGCAGCAGGGTGGGGGGAGGAGAGGCGGAAGGAGAAGGAGGAGGAGAAGGAGTAGGGGCGGCAGGGGGAGGTGGGGGAGGCGGGGGAGACGAGGGGGAAGGGCGTGGGGTGCAGGGCAAGGCCCGCTTGGTGGGGCGGAGAGAGAGGGGTGAGGCGTAGGGAGGAGGGGAGGAGGTGGGCCGAACCGGAGGTGAGGAGGGGAGAGGAGGAGTTCAGTCGGGAGTAGGAGAAGGACGGAGGTGCGGAGGCCACTGAAATTTGTGGGGAGAGGGGCAGGAGCGGTGGGAAAAGGGAAGAGAGGGAGCAAAGGGGAGAGGCTTGAGCAAAGGAGAGAACGAGGTGCGTGGGTTGTCTGGAAGAAGAATGAGCTTCAAGGATTTCCTACCAAGGATGAAATGCGGTACATGCATAGAGAATGTGGCATGGCATGAGCTTCCAAAGATGCATGTGGTGGCATGAGCTCCCAAGGTTGCATGTGGCATGAGCTCCCAAGGTTGCATGTGGCATGAGCTCCCAAGGTTGCATGTGGCGTGAGCTCCCCACCATCATGTAAGCGTGACCGCCGGTCCATTGGACAAGTTATTCTAACCAAGCAGCGCACCTGTGCCTCTGGGAGCCACCGTGATCAGATCCACATCGATGCTCCCCGCTGCCGTTGCAGCTGACATGAGCGCCCCGCCTTCCATCGCTGTTGCCTTGGCAGACAACGAGAAAGCTCTTAGCGCAGATGTACCCCCAGTCACGGACGCAGCTCCAGTCACGGAGGCAGCTCCAGTCATGGACGCAGCTCCAGGACCGGAATCGAAGCCAGACGACATGCCGCCGCTGTCCGCCCCACTGCCCTCGAGCAGCACGAGGTGCAGAGCCACGCCTTGCGGCGGGAAGGAGAGAGCAGCGGCGGAGGCTGAGGAGGGTGGGAGGTGGAAGGAGAAGGGCCCGTGCTGGCGCCAGGGCAGCAGGCCGGAGAGCGGGAGAGGGTTGGCGTCGTCTGTGCGGCAGGGAACGCCGATGGTCCATTGATAGAGCACCATCATGTCTGCTCCTCCGCTGCTCATATCTGCTGCTAGCGCCCTGGCCAGCTCCCCCTCATTCACGCTGCTGCTGCTGCTGCTGCTGCTGCTGCTGCTGCTGCTGCTGCTGCTGCTGCTGCTGCTGCTGCTGCTGCTGCTGCTGCTGCTGCTGCTGCTGCTGCTGCTGCTGCTGCTGCTGCTGCTGTTGCTGCTGCTGCTGCTGCTGCTGTTGCTGCTGCTGCTGTTGCTGCTGCCTGTGTTGCCAGTGCCACCATGGCTGCCAGTGCTGCTGTTGTTGATGCTGCTGCTGACAAGGGTTGGCAGGGGCAGGGCAACGATCAATGCTCGCATCGGCCGTACTCCAGAGGTCATATACATATCAAAGCCGCATTCCCGTGCCCTTGCATAGAAATACAGCGAAAACTTTTGCTGCTGCTGCTGCTGCTGCTGCTGCTCCCCACCTTTTGCAACACACAGCAGCTGCCCCACTCCCGGCACCGGCCACACTGTGCCCCCAATCTCGCTCTTCCCGCTCCCCCAAAGCCCCCCGCCACTGTTGCCACTGCCGTCGCTGGGCTGCAGGCGAACGAACCGACCGCCCTCAGCAGCAACGGACGGATCCCCGGGCGGAACCCCCCCTCCCCCCTCCCCCGCCCCCTGCGCTGCTGCGCCGCCGGGGAACAGTGGCACCCAAGACGACAGGGGCGCGGGCCAGTCTGCTGCGCCGGAAGTTTCCTCGAAGCCCGCATTGCGCAGGAGGTTCAACGAGGGAGCTGGGAGGGGGGGGGGGGGGGGGGGGGGGGGGGAGGGGGGGGGAGACGAGGGGAGGGGGAGAGCGGGAGAAGGGAGAGGCGGTGCGATCATTGGAAGGGGAAGCTCCAATGGGGGAGAAGCGCGCGGCCAATGGGCGGGCATGGTGCTCGTGTCCGGGATGCCTTCTGAGTCGACTCCCTCGAGGCCAAGGGGCGGAAATGGCGCTCGTGTCCGGAATGTTCGTGGTGAAGGGAGGG